TCTTAAATCTAAAATCGACTATTTGAAACTTTAAATCTAACATTATTTTAGTTAAATCTATTATTGTCTTTTTTTTTATTAATTCGAGGTAATCACGGTTCAATGAATACTACACATTTATTTGGAAATAATCTTATCAAAGCTTAAAACAAAGCAACAATTTGTGACTTTTTTTGTCACTCTATGATGCTTTATAAAGGACGTAGTCAAGTCTAAGAATAAATTTCAACTGTGACCTTGGTTAGTTAATTTAGTCAAAATTTCAAAAACAAAGATTTTCTTATCGAAGATCGCAATACTGATTAAGCTTATTTCCAAATCTTAAGCGCAATACACTCTAGACAAATAAAAATTTATAAAGAAAACGACAGCATTTACAAATTAATACATATTTACCTAATTTATTAATATTGATAACCAGTTTACATGAATTCATATATATATAATTTAGTTTTGCATAAAACTATCGTTTTCTCCTATCTACTAAACTTTGAACTTCGAATGGGCTCTGAATCAGACACTTGACTTATAGTGAAAGTGTGTAATTTAATAGACGGACTTTACACATTAAAAAATTATTTGTTTAAAATTATCATCATTTTAATTTGTTTTTGTTTAAACTTTAAACTTTCTCCAAGTTTTTTATTTTCTATTACTACTATAAAATAATTCGTTGTAAATCGCATATCTGTACATATTAACCTAAATAAAAGCGTAAATAAAAATTACTATTGTTTTCCGTGGGAGTCGAACAGCGATTAGAGGTTATATTATCGTAGGAAACTTTTTGGTTTTTAGTGTCGCCCACGAAAAGAGCGTGTGTTTACAAAGAATTCTATAATTACGATCTAAGTCTGGCTCAATTCCAGCCGAAAGATACTTTAGTTTTAAGAAATACACGTGTATATTTAAAAGACACAGAACGAAATAAATAATAATCATTAAAAAGAAATATACACTTGAAGTTACTTTATTTACAATTCCATTGTTCTTATTTTTGCTACAATAACTTGAATGAATCATACAAAATTTTCGGTTTAAAAATAATTTCGTTTCAACTTTGACTATGATCACTTCTTAATTATTAATATTCATTATACGAATCTCTAATCTATTTGTGCTTAATACTAATCTATGATGTATATACTAATATAGTGCATGCCACTTATACTAAACTAATTTATATAATTTAGTGAAGGAATTTTCAAATTTAACTCAAATTCATTCTATGTAACTAATTATGTACTCGAATATATACATCTCAAATAATACATTACACTAATCCCCATACTAAATTAATCTGTATATTTTTTAGCTAAATATAATTATTGATTATAATAATAATTTAAGCTATTCTAATATTCCTTAAAAATTGTACTAAAAAATAAAAATCGTAAATATATTCAAATATCAACTAAATTTGAAATTAATTAAAATTATATAATTCTTATTAATTATTGTATTTAGTTTACGTATAGTTACTAAAATTGTAATAATTGAACTAAAAATGCTTCAATAAACTAAAATATTTATTTTATATTAATTTGGTGCTGTACACTTAAATAAAATTAATAAATTGGTGATATTATGTTTGATCAACGAAAATTTTGTAAAATCCGATTATAAATTTCAATTTGATATTATTTCTAATAAGACTAAGTAAATTTCTTTTCTTTATCTAAAGTATCTATGAATGAATACCAAAAGAACTACAAATTCAATGTCAAACTCGAGTAAGAGAAAGAAGTTTTCTAATACTAATTACTAAAACTAATTCAACTTATATTAATATATACATATTTAATGTAACTAAAAATGCGAGGTTTGCGCATTCCACGTTCATATATGTACATTTATATTAATACTAATTTAATCTATTATTTGTTATATTTTATAAATGGCCTTGATTTTTTTATAATCCAAATATAATTATTATATAAAGTTTGATAATATCATTCACTAATACCACATTACTAATCCTATTGATAATCTATGAATTATATAATATATATATTTATGCAAATGCATTCGTGAAAGTTTTGTAAAATTCAATTATTATAATTACCAAACACATTCATAAAATCGAGTGTGTTTGGAAAGTAATTGCAATTTAATTTCTTTTAATTTAAATATAATGATCAGCCAAAGTTTCTTTCGTTAAATTACTCATTCATAAGTAACGATGAATGAATGTATTCGTGAAACGTCATTTCATACCCGAATCCCAAACTTCTAAACTGTTATAAATATTTACATAATTTTCATAATTAACATAAATACATTTGTGAAAAATTAATATTATAAGAAATATTTTATTTTATTTAAAATTATTTACAATTATATTATTTGGAATTGTTTTGAATTCGTTAAAGATCGTTCAACTTCGACTTTAACTTATGAAATATCTTTGGTTGTATCTATTATTTGACAAAAACGACTGAATTAACGTAATAATAATAAAATAATTTTAATAATAATAATAATATGATTTCAGCTGTTCGTTCTTCATTAAACTAATTTGGCCCTTCTCGGATAAAGTCGTGAATTATCGTTGAAATTTTAAAGCAATCGTTGAAACTCGGGTGGTGGTAATTTTTTAATTAAAATTCTCGTCGAATTATTCTGGTTTTTTTTTAATTAGTTATTTGTTGCAATGCACAATGCGTATATTTGAATTGGATGTGCGTTGCATATAAATTAGAGACGATGATTCCGACTGTAAAGTAAACAAGTTGTCTTTTGTTCTTTTCAGATCCTGGGCAAGGGCCGTGTCCCTGAGTCGTGTAGAATGTGAAGGAACTTTCCGTGCCGCGAATGGGGAAGGCCGTAGACCTTCGGATCCCACGAGACTAAAGCTAATTGCCTTAAAATACTAATTACTTGGATATTCGCTGTGCTTAATTACGACAATCTAGTTGCTTCCGCGTTCTGTTTCCGCGCGACTCGGGTGATATATCGCGTTTTTTTTTATTATTTTAGTCTGTCTTTGACCGGATGCATTATTGATTCAGGCGATGCCTAATCAGATTCGTGCGTTTTCCATCGATCTGGGTTCTTTGTTTTTGTTTTGCTTCTGCTTGGATTTCAGTTTCTGTTGAAGGTTTCTACGAGCAGACGGAGCGGAAGAAGTGAGCGGTATTTGTTGCTGGTCTGTTGGCTTGTGGCTGGTATTGAGTGATCCTTTCGTGAAACGTAGGAGGTCGGCCGGCAAGATGGAGGCCTACGAACCGAAGTCGGGATGGGTGTGAGGTGGCTCTGCTCGCCGTCAAAACCAGTCCAAAAGTCGATCCTGCCACGAACCATACCACCTCAACAGATAGCATAGCAAACAAAGACCGTGGAACCATTGTTTATAAATATAGTACGCGCGTTCGCTGCAGCCGCATGCATGCAACAACGATAAGAGATTGTCAAAGTCGTGCAGTTGCATAATTGACAACAACATTTCAGTATGTGAGTATACCGTCGCCTCTATTATTAGAAAATTTTCACTATTTTCAGCGGCATTCACACTGACAATCTCCTGTAGTGACTGTAGCCGCAACAACCGTGCTAAATAGCACAACGACAAAGAACCGACGCCGTGCAGATGTTTGAATCGCGTAAGTTCCATCCATACCACAAACTTCCTTTGTTCAATGACAACAAAAGCAAAAAAAAAAAGTATTATAACATCAAAATATAAATATAAATAATAAAAAAAACATCACCCTCTATTGCGTTTTAAACATCTGCAGGTAAAGAAAAACATCCTTAAAAAATGCAAAAACTGTTGCATATACTTCTTGACTTTATTTTTTTTTTGTATACTTGCAGTCGCTTCAAAAATGTGGTCAACCTTAGAACCCGGAAGTTCGCCAGTGGATTGGTGCGAGGAGAATTACACGTTTTCGCCGATGATAGCGGAATTCGTGAACACGGTAACGTTTCTAAAATTAACACATCGTTTACGAATCAGTGTTATAAGTAAGCGTTTTTTCTCTAGGTCAGCAACGTTCTGTTCTTCATTCTGCCGCCGGTGCTAATCCACCTGTTCAAAGGGTACGGGAAGATCATCAACCCTGGTATACATGTGATATGGATACTCTTGATAGTTGTCGGTTTGTCCTCTGCGTACTTCCATGCAACCTTGAGCCTTGTTGGACAATTGCTGGATGAGCTTGCCATTCTCTGGGTGTTTTTCGCTGCTTTCTCCATGTTCTTCCCTAGAAGGTTCTTTCCAAACTTCTTGCACAACGACAGGTATGATCATTTTCGAAAGCGGTGCTCTCGTTCTTATTCGCGTGTATTTTAGGAAACGCTTCAGTTTGGCAGCCGTGGCTTTGGCACTGATTGGCACCTGTTTGGCAATCATTCATCCGGCCATAAACGCATTCGCTTTAATGACTTTGGGAATCCCTTCCGTAATTCTGCTGATACATGAAGTTAGAAGGTGAAGCAATTCGCTACCTATTTTATCTTTTAATTACAACTTAAGCTTCTAATAGAGAGAAGAACGAGAGGATCCATAGGTTAGGAGTCCGTTGTGCTTCCGTTTGGGTTCTAGCAGTATTCTGTTGGGTCAACGATAGACTCTTGTGTGATGCATGGTCAGCAATAAAGTTTCCATATCTCCATGGCCTTTGGCACATTTTCATCTTTATAGCGTCGTACACGGCTTGCGTGCTCTTTGCCTACTTCTCGGTACGTGAGGAAAGACCAGAGAAGAAGGCAATCCTTCGATACTGGCCGAGAAACGACTTCGAATTGGGTATACCATACGTTCTTATCAAAACCCACCACAAGGATAGTGAAATTTAAGGTAATATAATCTCTAATCATAAGCATACTAATCATTTTCGGAATCTCTACTTAATGTGATGAAATTATGTGATATATCTTTTTTTATCTAACAAAATCAACAAATATATATGTATACTATCTTTTTGTATGTATTTGTCGCTCTTATACTCGATTTTAATAAAGAACTTAACTCTTCTTCGTTTCCTTTATTCTTTCTTCCATGCAGACTAGATAACCCAGTTGCATAACTAATTAATTTTTTTGCATATTTTAAGAAAAGTTATTATAAATATGAATTACTTATACGTATTATTTTTTTATCCATTATTTACATAGATAAAATATAAAGGCAATCACGAAACCAATATTTAAATTAAATTTGGAAAAATTCTGTGAAAACAAGTTTAAAAGCAATAATACAAGTTTATCGATTAGTCTAAAAATGAACTAGTCTCCTCTATAGATAACAATATTATTTTCGGTCTCGTGGATTTTGATTTCGTATAGCAAGGATGGTTTCTTCATGGTTTGCTTCAGGTTACACCAGAAGAATATAGCAACGTTTTCTGTAGTGCTGGGAACGTCTTTGAAGTATGCCACGTCTTTATCCAGATTCTTGTGATCTGCTACATCCATTATGGCTGTTTCCATCTCAGCCTTCAAATCAGTCAAGTTCATAACCATACCTGTACGCTGATCTACTTCTCCGAAAAGAGTAACTTCAACTAGAAAATGAATATGTAAAATTTTTAAAGCAATTTTCGAATTTTTTTAATTCCCATAAGAAAAGTACAAAGTAGAACTTACCAATGTAGTTATGACCATGGCCGTTGATGTTATTGCATTTTCCGTAGACACGAGCGTTCTCTTCGACAGTCAGGGAAGTGCTAAAAACAAAAATTTAAATGTGTATCAAACAATTTTTGAGACTACTAATTAAAGTATGAGTATCACACCTATGCAATCGGTGGCAAGCAGAAAGCTGTATTCTTCGCGTTAAATAGGCTTTTGGCATGCTGGACATCTTATTTTACTTACAACAACCTGTTGTATACTACTGCTGCTAAATAGCTCGTTCTTTACTTTCATCAATACTATTCTATATACAAAGTGTTTTAAATTGAAAGCTGTGTAGGCAACCTTGATCACAGCTTATTTTAGCATTACTGAGGAACATATTTTCTTAAAACATTGAAATAAAACTATTTAAACCTTTTGTTGTAAAACCTTGTAAATATATGTTACTTAATTCTACTATGTTGCAACAAACCAAAAACATTTTTCAACCTCTTTATTGTCAAACTATGTAAATATATTTTCATTATTTCAATATAAAAATTGACAACATACTGTATATGAAGTAAAAGACTGCAGCGACCCCAGTTGGTAGGTGTAGAAGTTTTGTTTGACGTTTCTACCGTACACTTTGTAAATACTTAATAAATTTGTTTTCGTTTTGTCCCTCATGTGTCCAAGGGTGTAACACTTAAATTGTGATTGAAATAAATAGACTATGGCCTGGTTACAGAACCTAGCTGGTAAGGCTGAAGACTTCCTTAATAAAATCGATAAAAATGCAGCTACAGTATTAAGCGAAACAGCCAGCTCCGTAGAGTATGTAAGCTAAAATTGGTCAAAGAAAATTTACCATGAAATACCTTACAGACTTACAGAGGAGGCCCTTCTGGTTGAAGTCCCGGAATGCTCTACTCCGACGAGCATCATCGAAATAGTCAATGAAAGGGAAACACCAGAAGATGTAGCTGAAGACGTTGGCATAGTTATGACTGCCAGTCCACAAGAGATAATCGTATTCGAGAAGTCGTTAGATTTTACGGAGATGTCTTCCAAAGAATCAACGACCTCATTGAATCATCAAGAAGACCTCGACAAATTTGAAGATCATATCAAGAAGTTAGAGGAAGAAACTCAACAGCTTACCAAGCAGAACCTCAACTTACAGCATTTATACTCTGAAGCGAAAAACGAAAATGCTTCGCTTCAAAATCAGGCTCAACGTTCCGCGGAAATTGCTCAACAAGCTTATCATCAAATGGAACAGTACAAAGTCAGGGCTCAGTTAATCCTCCAGGAAAAGGAAAAGCTCATCAATGTCAAATCCAACACTAAAGACTGTGATTCGCAAAATCAAATCCTCTCAACTTATAACGAGGAACTAAAGTAAGAATGAACAAAGCATCAATAAGTTGTCTTATTAATCTGGATGATTTACAGAAAGGAGCTACAATTCCAGCAGAATAGAAATGAAGAGTACAACGAGAAGATCGAGAGCTTGAATAGAGATTTATCGGTGCTTCAGCAACAGTACGTCGCTGTTCAGAACAGCAGTCAACAGTCGAACGATTCTCTTCACGAGAATCTGAAAACTGAACGGAAATTCAGGGCAAATTTCGAAGAGGATCTACAATTGAAAACTAAAGTAATGCATATTCACCTGTTTTCAAATCACCAACATTCTCACCATTTAGTATTAATACCAGACTAATCAAAAGATTATTTCATAAATGGTTATTCACAAACCATTACGCGAAGCTAACTGATTAATTTTTGAAGGAAATTCAAACGTTGCAAATGCAACTGGCTAGTCAGCAAAGTGCTTTGAGGGCAAGGGAAATGGAAATCGTGAAATTGAAGGACGACCTAAGGTTAAGTAGTCAACCGGGCAGCGATGTTGGGGATACGCGATTTCATACACTTACGCAAACTTTGATGAAGAAACAGAACACTTTAGAAACTATAACTAGTGAAAGGAATGCACTCAAGATCCAACTAGAAAAATTAGAGGTATGTTTAAAAAATCTGCGCTATTCCGTTGTGTTGATATGTATGAATTATCGTCTAGGGTTCTTATAATCGTCTGCTAAATCAAAAGGAGCGGACTGTGGTCCAAGTTCGTAACGAAACTGATGATTGTAAGATGAAAGTTTTTCTTTGCTTTTTGACAAAATTTAACTAAAAAAAAAATTGTAGTGCGAACACAGGTACCGAGGTTAATGCAGGTTTCTCCACTGGACGTAGGCATGACCAGAAAAGTGAAGCACGCTTACTCAACTTTAGACACAATCAGTATTCGAACGGGAGTTTTCTTGAGGAGATACCCCTTAGCCAGGATTTTCGTCTTCTGCTACATGGTTTGTATTTTTCTTCTGTATATTGAAATATCGCGAATCCCGCTCGCTCGAATTCCAGCACGCGAAACCATAACTGATTTATTAAATATCGTTATAAATAGCAAAGTGCTTTTTCAACTATGCAAACGCAAAACAAACGAAAAAAGAATTTACATAGTTACGCAAAACTATATTTAAGAGTGACATAGCGCGTTGATTTACTACTTAAAGCTTTTGTGTCAAATCACAGAATTCCAATATCCAAGCTGCAAATCGTAAATTTTGTGTTGAGACGGAAAAAAAATATTGAAAAAAAAATCAAAATTTATGAGTCAGTTTTCAAATTCAATAAATAGGAAGAAATAAAAATATAAAGTAAATGTATGTTCAAAGCTATTGTCAATTTACCGAAAGTAATCTATTGATAAGAATATGCAAATATTTGCGTGTCTAAGAAATATTCGATAATGTGAATTTATGACTTACATATAAGTAATTTGTATATGTTTATAGATAATAGAATCATATTGCTTGAATAGCAGCAAAATTTGTGGTCAGACTTTGGCTACCATGCATCGTAAAAATGAGCACGGAATGCCGGGTGCACATCCGCCCGTAAGCGATTGTGTTCTTTTCCGATAACATTAGTAAATATTTGTTCACGCATTATCCATTATTTTTTAATTGGCCCTCAATAATCGAGACTTCATTATTTGTGTTTAATTGAACAACAGATCGTGCCATCGTGTAAATAAGCCGTGTCTATGTTATTAACAACATGATAACCGTTCGCTCTCTCTATATATATTTTTATGTCTTGTTCAGTTCGATAACGATTTTCTGTCTGCCTGTAACTATGACTATGTATTCTCTCTTCGCAGATTCTTCTCCACATTTGGGTTCTCATCATATTATTTACGTACGTGCCTACGACCCTCTGAATAAATTTTACCATTGTTGATAAATAAATAAATTTTATTATTTTTCTGAAACTCTCATTTGAACTTTTTTCAAAGAACCTCGCGTGCAAACAGCGTGACAGCATGAGTCATTCGGACGGTATCAGAGCGAAAAACAAACATAGATTCAAAATGCTGCAAGCACGATTTTGAAGTAATCGGCGCAAACTGATAATGCGAAGTCTGATGAGTAATGGTCGTAAATAGAGGCAGCTAGGACGCTTCGTTGTTTAGATAGTGGCGGTATCTTGTGCTTGTTTATGGAAACTGGTTCTATTTTTTGAAAGCGACAGGTAAAAGGATTCTCGCGGATCCTCGCTCTTGTCTTGTCTGTATCCTTTTTGTTTTTTATTATTATTTTATATATTTCGGGTATGTTTATGAATGATAGAAGGGTAGATGCGGATGGATTCGGGCTAAGTACCCAAATTGGCTTAACTCGGTTAAGAAGCGGCGCAAGTTTGGTGACGCCCGAGAGATGATCTGAATTTGTGAGATATAGATATATAGATACTCATATATATATATTATTTGATTTTTTTGGGAGCAGTGAAGAGACAACGGCGGGCCGGACGGGCTGCTACAGTGACGACGGTGACGGTGACGAAAGGTGCGGTGCACGACGAGTCCTGGGCTGTACCATCATCATTATCTGCTGGTTCTCAAGACCGTTGTTGCCCCCTTTCTTTAGCACTCCTCTCTACTTGGAGTTGTAGTAGTAGTACACTAGGCGGTACTGTTTGAAGTACCAGAAGTACTTCGTACGTCTGCAAACTTTTTCGAGAGTTTTTCTTTTCCCGACTGCGGCGAAAGCACGGCGCGGTGTTCTGCTGGGGGAAATTAAAAGGCTAGTTTTATTAGTTAGTCTGCGACTGCGTTGGGTCATCGTTGCTGCGCTTCGCTTCGTTGTCGTTGCTATAGTGAATATCTGGTGTGTGTGTCCGCGCTTTGAAACGTTCAACTATTCAAGGTACACAAGGGGTCGGACAGCAGGATATAACGTGTAACGGGCCTGAAGAGAAATAGAAGCATAACTACCTGGGCCGTGTAAGTGGTCTAAGCTGTTGCTGTTTGCTGTCGCAGTCTAGTATTCTGGGAGAATACGTGCCTGCAGCTCCACTATAGACACAGACACTCTCACACATACACACTTATATATATATGTATATATATCTATCTATATATATATAAATATATATACATATATATACACAGACATCAGGTAGATTTCAATGTGAGCGGCGAGGTAGTGTTGTGAGATAAGTGGCTGGGGCTGGTGTATCGTGTGGACAAGAAGCGGTGTTCAGTGCTGGTCCATTTTAGTGCAAAAAAAGAAAGAAGAAAGAAAGAACCATCGACGTCCGATTTACTTATACTTTAGTACTTGGAACAATTGGTATCGTCATCACGATTGATAGGAGCGCGAGATAATGGCATTAAACCAGGACGAGTCGAAACAGGTGGTGAGAGTGGACCAGGACTCGGAGACGGGCCTGCAGGCACTCTTCGACAGCGTCCTCAAGCCGGACTCGAAAAGGCCGCTGCAGGTGCCGTGGAAGCTGCGGAAGCTTCCGGACTCGTTCTTCAATCCACCGTCCACCGGTACCAAGTCCATCAACCATTCGCGAGAGAACTCGGTGGACTCGGCTTTCGGCTCGTCTAGCGGTGGAGGCGGCGGAGGCGGGGGCGGCAGCAGCAATGGGGGTGGCACCTCGACCACCCCCGTTAATACCGTTCCTCTGCAGACGACCCACCACCGTGCCCACAGCTCGCCCGCCTCCTTGCAGCAGACCTACGCGGTGGGTCAGCAACAGCAGACAACCCCAACCCATCACCATATGAAACAGAGGTCGTACGACGTAGCCAGCAAAACGGAAGACAACACACCTCTGCCTCCCGGCTGGGAACAGGCCCGAACTCCCGAAGGACAGGTGTATTATTTAAAGTGAGTATACAAATACACACTCTTTCATATTCTCACACAAAAGATTGCGGCAATTATGTAATGGTGTGCGGCACAGGTACGTCCATCCCCCATGGGAAACGAGAACCAACCTGCCCACCCTAGTAGTGTCATTTAATGGGGTTTCATGCATTATAACCTGTTGACTGCGTATGCATGTGTATGGATTCATGTATCCGTGGATATATATATATATATATAAATATATATATATACATGTATATATATATATATATATCCAATGAGTCTTATTCGATAAAGAAAAAGCAGCGGACACCCAAACCGCCCTTTACCTGTCCACCCGGACTACCTGCAAAACCAATTCCGAATACCCCCTTTAAACCTGTACCTGAGGCCGCCGTCTTTCTCTCTTCTGTCTGTCTGTCAGCATGCCATCTCTTTTGGTCTTTCGTCGACCGTCCTTCTCGCTCTTCCGCCCAGCCCCTCGAGAACCTTTTCTCGAACCTGTTCACTGTTCAACGTCCGTGATGGTCGGTGTTGGCTTTCACATGCTTAGTTATGCTTAGCATGTATTTTCTACCTATATACATGGCAATTGCACATGCTATTTGCACCGACGCTTTTAGAGATGGCCGCTTGCAACACATCACAATTCCCCGCATATATACCCATAATACTGGCAGCTCCTTCTTCCTTCTCTTTATTCTACTCGGTTTCAATTTTATAGAGATATGTGCGAGCGAACTGTATATATGTATGTATATATATATATATATAAATATATGTGTGTATGTATGTGTGGATAATGCAAGGAAGCACGCATAATGGTTTCCAAAGGTCCTTTGTATTAACGAAGCTGCTTGCTATCCGTTGTGCACGAGAAATGCAAGAATAAGTCGCCTCCGTTGAATGCATTGCATTATTGTTCTTCTTTTCTTCTTCTCATCGTCGTCTCCTCTCGTTTTGTTGCTGCAATATTATTTCTAATTCTTGGCTCTCCGTCCTCCTCCACCTCCTCTGTTCAAGTATGCATGCACGAGTGTGTGAAGTCTTGTAGACTATAAGACAAGTGTCTTTAGAGGTGGCAATGGTGTGCGGCAGTAGTCGTGGCAAGTTTGTAGTTGGTGATGGCCGCGTCCGCACACACACGAACACATACAAACATGCACACACACCCATACACACACACACCGAACACAAACATAGAGAGCCAGGGCACTTTCTATCCAGGAAACGCAACAGCTGAGGTTTGCCTCGCTGTATTTATTTGCATACATCCACTAGTTGGTCATTAAACCGTTTCGGCCATTAGATTACGTTTGCTGCTCGAATTTGCCACTCGTTAAAACCATATTTAGTCGGCGAATTCATTAATTTCACGTGCCCATAATTGCGGATCTGTATCTGCCGTTCCTAATTTGTTGGCAACGTGTCTGTACATCCTGATAACGTCAACGCATATCAAAAGAAAAAAATAAATACTGATTACAACCAAATCTCTTCACACAACGAAGTTGATGATTCTCTTCAGAACTCCGAACGTGTTAATGACGTTTTTTTCAATAAACCAAACCTCCTAACTAACATAGTAAACATAATAAGTAGGAATGTCCTTCAATTATTATACACGCAAATACATAAAATTTACAATAATTGTGAAACTTGTTCAATCACGATAAATTCGTTTATTATGGGTATTAACATATTGCGATTGCTATAAAATGAAATTGTTTGTTTAGAAAATGTCGAATAGAATTCTATTGTTTGATAAGGTTACAAATTGGGGTATTACTTTTAATAAACTCTGAAATTGTTAAATTTTTATGTTCTTCTAATTTTCACAAAACCTGCAAATTGGCGACGTCGAAATGGTCGTAATTATGTTTTAAGCACGTTTCAAGTTTTCACGTCAGCTATATTTAGAAAATAATTGAAAGTTTAATGTTTCGCGCATACAATAAGTTTATTGACATCCTTCTGGCACTTGTTTATTTCGCTTAATGCAGTGTCGCCTTTAAGATTTTCAATACATACAAGAAAAACAAAAAAAAGGAGACGCGACTAACGAAATGTTGATTGTTGAATATTACATTTGCGTGGGAGCGAAGAAAATTGAAACAGAATGTTAAATTTCGATGTTTCATCAGTTTCGTTCGTGTACACGTGGCAGATTTGGAGTAATTTTTTTGTTACATAAATAAAGCAAATAATTCAAAAACTTTTAAATATATTTGTTTTATAACATATCGACACACGCATTATACACTGCATTTGTTGATCAAAGGGCTATCAATTTTTTTTTTGCTTTTCTTTTATAATCATCAGAGAGTTTATTTAATTTGAAGGTATTAATAAAATTGTAATTGTTTTTTTTTTTAATGAGAAATTGAGAAAATTAGCGATAAATGAGCGTGGAAGGACGAAAGTCCTTGCGCGACGATAAAAAGTCCGACACAGCCTTTGGGCGCAAAATAAACTCTCGACGCGCGTTACTTTTTACCTTGAGGTGAAATTAAACAGCATTTTGGCAAGTTGGGCCTTCGCTTCCACATACGAGTAATTAGACAGCCAGACGGGTATTTTTAGAATTTAAAATTCTAGGCGCCGAAGTCGGCCATCGAACTCTTAGGCGAAATATTCAATCTATTTAACATTGAAGACGCTCCGCCGCACGCTCCGAATTAAATATAAAATATTATTATAAATGCTCGCCCTCCTTTGCTCATCCTCATCATCCTCCTCCTCGCTCCGACTACTATGATGATCATCACCATCATCATCGTCGCAATCATCACCAAAGGCCATCTCGCTCGTTCCCTGCCCACATCACAATCTCTCTCTATATAAATTAACTCGCACACAATGATACAACTAATATAAATTAGGCCACTCATCTCAACTTATCAATAGCGCAACTGTGCGTTCGAAAACAAAACTGCCTTGAAAAAAAAATATATACACACTGTTTGAGAGTATTCACATTCGCATCTACGTACGTTGCGTATATATATATTATCTTCCCGGAGAGTGAAAATATATAAATATATAAAAAAAGATGTATAGCAAATATTTTCACGTAGCATCATTAATTGATGTTAATGGCGGTTGTTCGCGTCGAAATTGACGTCAAAAATGACTCTCCTTTGGGTGTATTATGGGTATAGGTGAAAAGAGTCGTTCGACACGAACTGCGAACTTGGCCGGGGGCCTCTTTTTTCTCCCAAAGTCAGAAAGAGAACGATTTCATAACAGAAACGATCAACAGTACTAGCAGCGAATGTGTACGTATGTGCGAATGGGTATATCTGTATGCGGGAGCGCGCGAATGAAGGCGGATGAAGCGAGCTGAAAACCAGTAGACAAGAAAGATATATGTTAATCAAAGAAAAACCAGGGCTACAGTTAATGCAATTAACACCATTACAATTTTATCAATACTTTCTACCCCTTGCAATTTACTTTGGGTAAATTTTCTTAATTCTGTAGCTCCGGTCCTGCATACAACGCGAATGGAACGATTAAAATCTATTTCGGTAAACGAGAAAATGAACTGCTCCTCCCGTCTTCTATCTCCGCTCGTTACGTCCGTTCGAGCAATTCCCTCTAAACTACTCCTAATCCGCTTCATTCCTTGTTGAATAGGGCGACATTGATTGAATCTATTTTAATAAATAAATTGCGCCCCATATCTATACAAATCCAATTGTGGCCAATTGTATTTCAAACGCGACGAGAGAGAGATAGACATTAAGAAACACTTTCTTCGGAACCCGTTGATGCCTCGTGATCTTGGTTGGCCACGCCGAAAACAACTTGCCAAAACTATTCTATAAAAATATATATATATCTATTAAGGTCGATATCTCTTTGAGCAACGAATTATCGAATCATTTATTAGCCGACACGTTTTCACATATAAATCACTCAAATCATACTATTTGTTCATTTGTTTGAAACAATAAAAACGTACATGAATTGAACAATGGAAATTGCTCATTCGTTTTGAAATTATCAGAAATTGTTTGCGTTCTTTCGTTATTGTTTAATTCGTTAAAGTTAATATCTTTGATTGAGCTGTATCTAATTCATATTACATAAATTTTGTTTTATTTCCTAAAATGGAATGTAAATAACAATTCATTGAAACATTTACAATTGTAGTTATATAACAACTAAACTAACAATTAGATAATTGTATGTTTGTGCTAATAAATATATTGATCTAAACTTTGTCTAATTTATACAACAATTGTTGTTAAGATTCAAGAGAAATTGTCTTTTATTTTTTTAAATTACATTAAAACATTCAAATCTATTATTGTTGAGAGAAAACGTATTTGAACAGTTGTTGTTTTTTTTTTCACGAAAGTTTTATAAAGTAAATCAATTTTCATGCTTTCAAAAATTTAAAGATTGAGCAGTTCAAATAATCGTACCTCAAAGTATTTAAATTGTGAAACAGTTTAAACAAAATTTCATTCAGTTTTGAAATTATATAAAAACAATTTCAAATTATTAAAATTCAATACGTTTGATAATTATTTTTTAATTGTCAGATTATTGTACCTTTAAATTAAAGACACGTAAAATTGTTTTTAGAAAAAAATTCAAATAATCATATTTATTTGTAATAATTCTATCAAATTGTTTAATAAATTAAATTAGTTTAAACAGTTGAAATCATTGCAAGTCAGAGTAAGTGAAAACTATGATTTGCCAAAACTATTCCAAATTATATAAATCACGAATATTTCAGGACAAAAAAAAGGATAATTACGACTGATTACTTAACAATTAAATATTTGTATGTAACTTTATTGAAACAATAGAAAATCCAAATCAATAATAACGTGTGTTTTAATTAAAACTAATTATAGCTGCAAACTTTCAAAGTAGAAAGCAAAGGCCATTATATTTATTGCTCTTTTCGATAATAAAAATCCGTTGTTTTTATATAATTAATTTACAACAAAAAAATGCATGATAAATTAAATTGATTATGGTTGCTTTCTTTTTTTTTC